TTCATCCATCCATCCATCCATCCACCCACCCACCCACCCATCTACCTGACTCTGCATACTGAATGCCTATCATAGTCACTGGTTCAGTTATGCTTCATGTTGTTGGAGAGCTTTTCAGTGTTTATACATTTGTGACCCTTTTGTTTATGCTCTTTCCTCTCCCCACCTGGTTCTTAGAGAAGCTCCTTGAGAAGTGGGGCTCCCTTTTCTATTGTGCCAAGAAGGAAAAGCTCTGTCTTGGCTGTGGGGTTGTCAGAAGCTGCTAGGCTTGGGCACCCTGGGGCCCTGGGGAAGGGGGATCTTGCATGCCGCTCCTACCCCTGCTGGGCCAGGCTTGTGACCCTCGCTGTGGCCCAGTCTGGAGGAGGCTGTGCTGCCCCAGGGGCAGGGCCTTGCTGCTTTGCGTCCTGCCTGCACTGCTGCAGGAGCTGCTGGCCCCTTGCCAGCACCGGACGTCGGGAGTGGGAAAGTCGTGTCGCTGTGGAGCCTCTCCACACCGCTGTAGTTAAACAAACAGGCTGGGAAACCAGGGGCAGGGGCTGGCCGCCCTGTCGGCAAGAGCAGGTGCCGAGTGGGGGGACGGGGACTCAGGAGAGGTGGCTGGCTGAGCTCTGAGCTGAGGAGCTGCTGCGGAACCACGAGTTGAAGCCCCCCCTGCCCCCCGCGTTCCCCCCAGACCTGGGCTTAGAGAGATGGGCGGCAAATATCTGTGGGGTGGCTCTGAGCTGCCCTGGTTGGAGGTGAAACTGGTAGGAGGGGCCGTAGACAAAGACCCAAAGGAGGACAGACTGACACGGAGAGGCAGAGGGATGTAGAGATTGAGTTTCAAAGAGAGAGAGAGAGAGAGAAAGACCAAGACAGAATCAGGTGGGAGAAGGAAGATTTGAAGGGCTAAGAGAATGGCCAGGGGAGGGAAGGCCAGGGCAAGGGAAGAAAGCTGTGGGCCCAGGGGAACAGCTCTTCCAAAGGCAGGAAGTGTAGAGCTTAATAACAGCCCCCTCCCATGTGGATAGCACCAACAGTGAACAAAACTTTTCCACTTGCTTAAGCTCATTCAAGCCTCACAATAGCCCGCTGAGAAGGACTTGGATGGGGGCAGGGATGTGTTCTGTTGTGGGGAGCAGTGGGGGAGGGGAGCTGCAAAGCTGGGATGGGGACCTGAGGACCTGCCAGGAGGGGCCCCCACCCTGCGGGGATTTAGAGACAGAGCCCTTTGCTGGGCCTGGGTCCCTCCGGTGACCAAACCTTCCCTGGCTGTGCTCAGTGGCCATTTATGGACTTGGCTGCCTGGTGCTTGATGCTCCTGCTACCATGGCATTGTTGCTCCTCGTCCAAGGAGGAGGAAGCCATCCAGGTCAGGAGGCCTCTCTCTCTTGTCCTCTGTCTCCTGTCCCCAGAGTGTAGTCATGTGGGCTGTTGACGGCTGCTGGCTGAATCCGTCTCTGAGAATTGCTTTTGGTGACTTGGTGGCATGTTGCCCGAATTTATGCCCCCTCCCTGAGGGCAGCCTGCATCGAGTGGCTGGTCAGTTGGTGAGAGGTGTGCAAAGGTCAGGTCCCCTTGCTTCAACTTGGGACACTTGTGAAGGACCGTCCCAGCTCTAGAGCTCCCCATGAGCCTGGCTCCCGTGGTGTGAGTGCGCTGCCCGGGCGTTTCTCCCTTTGCCCAGTGCTGCTTCCCTGTCTTGCCCTTGTTCCCAAGAGTACAGGATGGTAAATCGCCTTCATGCAAAGCTCATAGTCTCGGAGCATTTCCAGGGAATCCGACCCGTGGCACTCAGTCTAACTCTTGGGCCCCAGCCTGGGGACCGCTCAGCTCCACTCCCCAACAGCCTTATTTTTGTCTTAATCCTCATCCCCACGGACTAGTCTGGATTCTGCACGCGGGTGTCTGTGTAGATCTGGGAGAAGTAGGAGCAGGAGGGGTTGACTGTCCAGCCACCTCCATCCTGGGCAGAAACTCTCTCCCCACCCCCAGGAGAGAAATCATGGGGAACCTGTTTCCTGTGGGTAAGCTCAAGGGCCAGGGCCCCAGCGTGCCGCCTGGCACAGGGGAGGGGCTCAGCAGTTTGAAGAGGCTGATTTTGACACAAGGTGGCCTGTGAGTGTTCGCTATCCTGAATATTATTGTTGTTATCCGTAGAAGAACACCCGCTCCTGCAGGTTGGTGAGATGGCCCTGGCCTGCGTCTAAGAGGCACACACACGCCAGGCGAGCAGTTACTTCCTTAGGTCAGCAAGGGGTCTTGCGTGTTGCCCCGCGTGCCTGTAACTCGTGCTCTGCAAGCCCCTCACTTTGCAGACAAGGCCAAGGGGGCGGCCCCCAGCCACACGCTGCTTCTAGGCTGAGGGAGCCCTAGGCTCCAGTGTCTAGTTCCTAGGCTGAGCTCAAGCCTCTTTTCTCCCCCATCCTTGGGGTCCAGGGCCAGGGGACTGGACAGGTCCCAGCAGTCTTGGCGGCATCTGCAGGCAGTGGGGCTGTGCTTGCTCAGGGTGGGACTATCTCAGAGGTGACAACTGCTCCAAGATCATACCCTTGACCCCGGTTCTGTCATTGGGGGCCAGGGGCTAGCCTCTTTGGGTCTCTAAGAGATCAGAAGAGAGGTCACTGAGGTTCTAAGGAGGAGCCCCTGGCACTGAGCCCAGTGATCTAGCTCTTTGCACAGCTGCCACTCAGTTCTGAGCCCCGCCTTTCTGTACCTGGCAGCTGCCTTTTACCTGGCCGTCCTGTTTTCACTCCTGACCCTCTAGAGCTCCACTGTCCCTCACACTGTCCCCATGCCGCTGGTGGGCACTTGGAATGTGACTAGTCCAAATGGAGATGTGCTGAAGTACAAAGTATGCACTGGATATCAGACACTTGGTATAAAAAAAAATACATATATATATATAATATCCCTAATAATTTTTTAATATAGGTGATATATTAAGATGATAATATTTTGGATGAAATAAAATATATTATTAAAATTAATTTCACTTGTTTCTTTCTTTCTTTCTTTTTTTTGGTAAGTGGCAGTTAGAAAATTATAAATTACATGTGTGCTTGCATAGTATTTCCACTGGACAGTGCTGCCCCAGTCTGTTGTTGCCATAATAGCCAGAAGGATCCTTTTAAATTTTGGATGGGTCATGTTCCTCTTCTGCTTGCAACCTTTAAATGCTCACACAGGGTGAAACCTAAGTGGTTACCATGGCTTTGAGGGCTCTGAAAAGATCTTCCTTGCAGATCTTTTCTCCTATTATCCTCTCCCTTGTTCCCATGTTCCAGTCACACTGGCCACCCTGGAACTCCTTAAACTTGCTAAGTTCATTCCTACCTCAGGGCCTTTGCACTTGCTGTTCCGTCTGCCAAGAGTGATTTCCGCAGCTCTTCACATGCTCACTCCGTCACTTGATTCAGATTTCTTCTCTAGTTTCTCCTTCTCAGGGTTGCCTTTTCTGTCCACCCTGGCTAAAACACATGGCTGCCAGTTCCTTCCTAATTCCTTGGGCAGAGCATTTACCCTCATGTAACATTACATTACCTATTCAATTGGTTACATTTTGATTGTTTGTTTTCCCAGTTAGAATGTAAGCCTTGTCGGGGCGCCTGGGTGGCTCAGTCAGTTAGGTGTCTGCCTTGAGCTCAGGTTGTGATCCCAGGGTCTTGGGATCAGGCCCCACTTCGGGCTCCCTGCTCAGCCGGCAACCTGCTTCTCCCTCCCCCTCTGCCCATTTGTTCTGTCTCTCCCTCTCTCTCAAATAAGTAAAGAAAATCTTTGGGAAAAAAAAGGAATGTAAACCTTATGAAGCCAGAACTTGGTCTGTCTTATTCACCAAAATAGCCCCTGTTCCTAGAATTAGGCCCAGAATAGAATAGATGGTCAACGAATCTTGGTCGAGTGACTGAAAGTTACCGATGACAACACTGAGATCCAGAAAGATAAAATTGTGCCCAAGGTCACACAGCCAGGCAGGGGCTGAGCTGGGAAGAGCTGAGGACTGTCTGAAGCCAGAATCTACACTCTGCCCACTCCAGATCCTGTCTGCAAGCCTCTTTATTCCCCCTTTGGTCGCTCAGGAAACACAGTTGTCACATTGGGGAGAGGGGGCCTGGCTGTGGAGAGGCAGCAGACTGGTTTTCTGGCATCTCTGATTTTCTGAGTGCTGGAGACTTCCAGGCACAGGGACTCAGCTGCCGTTGATTGTCCCCTCCCCTGTGCATCCAGGCTCACAGGCGCATAGGAGACCCTGGGGCAGGGGTGGAGGAAAATGAGCCTATAGGGATGGGGGGTGTGGTCTTCCCAGGGCTCAGGCAAGAGCAGTGTGCGGCTAGGTAGGACACTGCTCTGCACGGTGCCTGGGGCTGAGCGTGGGGCACAGGGAGCCCGTCGTGGCCATGAGTGAGGAGACCAAACCTCATAGACCTTGGGTTTGGGAAGACAGCAGAAGGGAGAGAGGAACCCTAGAAACTCGACATGGGGGCTGAAGCAAATTGCAGAGCCCTCTGCCGGGTGAGCCACCCTGTAAGGGTCTCTGCTCTTTGGCACCTGGGGCAGCTCAGGCTGTGCTGAGTTGCCTTTGACCCACCTGCCCACCCACCTGCCCACCACGATGGGGGTAAGAGTGCTCTCTGGGCTCTGACTAGTTTCTCTATCCTCTGTATTCCTTAGAAGGGGCACCTTGTTCAGAATGGGTGGGACTTTGGAGCCTGGGATGCTGGTCTGCCTTTTCTCTGCTTGGGGAACTCCTACCTTATCTCTCTGGTCCCAGCTCAAATGCCCTCTCCTTGTGCAGAGCCCCTGACTCTCAGGCAGAGTTAGTTCTACACTCCTCTGAGCACCCAAATGGCTCATTGTTCCTACAAGTGTGTAAGCATTCATTGCTTCCTTTATAGTTATTATTATTATTATTATTTTGTATGACAGACTCTCCTGCTTGACTGCAAGCTCCTCAAGGGCTAGGTCTGTGTTTATTTCTGTGTTTCCAGCCTGAGGCTTGGTAGTGAGTAGACTTTCACCACCGCCGCCACCATCGTCGTCATCAGACTTGATGCCTGTTGATGTGTTCTTGGCACATGCTAAATGTGTCCTCCGCAGCTGATCACTTAATCCTTACGAGGACCCCGCAGCATGAGGCAGGTGTGTTGTCATCCCCATCTGTGGAAGCGGAGGCTCTGTGAGGCCCTCTGGGCGGCAGTGTTAGGAAGCACACAGCCGGGGCTTGAACTTTTTTCTTCTGATTCCAACGCCAGGGTTCCCTTGGCTTTTTGGAACCAAGGGCTGAAATGACCTTTGCTTCTCTATGGGCAATACTTCGGGTGAGTCTGCAGGCAGCTGTGGGGAGCTGGGTGGAGCAGGAGGGAGCCCTGGGGCTGAAGCCGAGGGTGTGTGTAGGGCTCAGAGGAGGTGCGGGAGGACAGAGAGACCGGATTAGGGAGGGGCTGGTGCGGACGGTGAGTTGGACTCGGGTCTTGCTGAGTTTGAGGTGCCCGTGAAGTATGAGCATGGAGATGCAGTTGCATCCACGGGTCTGGAGCTGGAGGGAAATCCACTCTGGGGAAGGAGGTCTGGGGTTGTTGGGAGAGATGAGTCTGTGGGGGGAGGGGAAGGTCCGGGGAGAGTGGGTGTGAGACGAAGAAAGGGTCAAGAACAGAACTCAGGGAACCCCTTCCTTTAAAGGGCTAGTTGAGGAAAAGGAGCTCGTAAAGGAGCCTCAGAGGGACAAACAGAAGGCAGAGGGAGGAATCAGGGCAGAGGAGGAATCAGGGCAGAGAGCTGCTACCAAAACCTTGAGGGGGCTCTGGGAGTATTTGTGGAATGAATGAATGAGTGAGTGCAGGTGGAAAGGGTTGGTGATCCCCCGAGCCCTGAGCTCACTGTGATTCTCTGCTGATGACTCAGAATCAAGGCTGCCTTGGTCTCCCCAGGACACTCTGGCTTTTTCCTCTCCCCTCCTGGACCTGCTCTCTGCTCACCCCTTCCTCAGGGAGCTAAGACAGGCTTGCTGTCCCTACATCATAGCTAGGGAAACGGAGGCTAGAGTGGACCAGACACCAGACATCCTGGGTCTTAGTGCAGGTGCATTCTGGGGGCAGGGATAGCATTTCCAGAGAGGGGGCTACCAGAGGGCTGCGGTGTCTCGGGGGCTCCTGAGACCCCATCTCTGGCCTGGGGTTTCTCACCCTGTAGTCATGGAAATTCCACCGGCACTTGGAGGGTTCTCAGAGATCACCCGGTTCAGCCTCCTCATTGTATAGATGTGAAGATCACGGCTCACGGAAGAAAGAAACTTGCCCAAGTTCATGGTCATAGAAATAATACTGCCCCGCTGCCATGTATTGAGTAACTACTGTGAACCAGCAGCGGTTTAACACTTATCCTTTTGTTTATTCTCAGCAGTTCCTTAGTAGTCTCTGATTTTGTAGATGAAGAATCAGAGGTTCAGAGAGGTGAAGTGGTTTCTCTGAAGTCACCCAGTAGGTGGGCTTGGGCCAAGATTCAGCTTTGACAGCAAAGCTTGTGTTATTCCTCTGACCCTCTATGGCCTCCCAAGTCCCAGAGCCTGGGTCTCCTGTTTCCCAGACCAGAAGGTTTTCTCCACTGGCCGCAGCTTCTGCAGGACCCCAGGCAGTGTTTCTGAGGAGGGGAAATGACAGTCAACAAAATGGAGGGAGCGCCCGGAGTCTGGCCTGGAGTGTTGGACATGCACAAAGCAAATGGGAGAAGGAAGAGCGCGGCTCCCCCTACCCCTGCCCACCCCCCATGGCCCCGCCAGGCAGGCCCCCAGCAGCCTGGCGCTCTCCCTCCCTGGGGGCTGGAGCTGCCTTTCCGCCTCTGCCTGCCCGCCTGATCGGGGGCAGAGTTGGCTTCATGTATTATTAATAGCACTGGCAGCCTTCCTGTTTTCACGCTGATAACCTGCTGGGGAGGGTGGGTGGGAGGGAGGGAGCAAGGTGGCAAAGCCTGAGCTCCAGGGCCCCTCCCCAGTCAGTAGAGCTGCTCTGTGGGGGCTGGCCCAGCCCCAAGCCTCTGAAGTTGCTCTCCAGAGCTTCCCGCATCTGAGCCCACAGGGGGAGACTGGGGCTCTCTGCGGGGAATATGTGTGGGAGGTAGACCTCTGGGAAGACCCCTCCCTGGCTCCTCTAGGATTCCAAGGGCTCCAATCACCTTGGCCTCCCCAGAGGCAGATGTGTTCATATCCAGGTGGCATGGGGCTCAGGGCTGAGGATTCAGGGGTGGTGTGCGTGTGTGTGTGACATAGGGAGAGAGGAGACACACACACACTGGTTCCCAAAATTCCCTGGAGCAGGGACCTCTCAGATCCAGCTGCACATGGACCTCAGGCCACATCAGAGCTGGTCTCTCCCTGGCCCCCACCCCAGAGCCTCATCATTTTCCCTTCTAGAGCCTAACTCGAGGGCCAAGGGCAGGGTACAGATGGAGCTGGCCCTGTCAGGGATTGGGGTAGGATGGGGTGGATGGACGCCATCCTTCTGAGCCTCCCTGCAGGCTGAGGTCAGTGTGTGGGCCTGCGGGGACCCATTGTGCATCTCTTCCCAACTTCCTGTTCTGTGATGGCACTTGGTAGTTTGAAATTGGCCTCGGTGGGAGTATTTACCCCACAGAAATGGACAAATGTTGCAAATCAGGCCCTTCCCCGCCCCCCCAAACCGGGGTGCAGGGGTAGACTTTGACCAGCACAGTCCTGAGGCTGGCGTGGAAGGCTTTTCTCTCACCTTGAACGTGCTGTGCTTCTGCCTTTAACCTCTGCCCAGTTGCTCCCTAGAATTCTTTTCTCTTCCACTTTGTCGATTTTCATTAACAATAATAAAAGTAGTGATAATGATAGCCAGCACTTATTGCGTGCTTATTAATTATGTTCTGGGTCTGTTCAAAGAGCTTTACTCACTCCATTCATCTTCACAGCCATGCAGTGAGTAGGCGCTGCATTATTCCCATTTTACAGATGAGGTACAGAAAGGTGGAGGAGCCTCTGAAGTCCCACAGCTGGCAGATGGCAGAGCTGAGCCCCCTCCCTGGCTCTGTGGCCTCCGCCGCTGGCTGCGGGAGCGTTTCTGCACGGCTCTGAGGGCCGCCTGGGGCTGCCTCCCGCAGGAGTCCTTCTAGCTGTCCCGGGCCTCCCTGGCTGACTTCCTCTGTCGTCTCCCGGGGGCTGTGCTTTGAACGCATGGGATTGCTCTTCTCAAGTCTGGATTTCTCCTGCCCCCCACCCCCAGACTGGGAGCTCCTTGGGCACCGTGCCTGGGTCTGATTCACCTGGTGCCCCCGGTACCTGGCCCAGGAGCGGCCACTCATGGAGGCAGTGACAGGGACCCCTCGGCACAGTGCTTGGCACACTGTACATACCCGTTTGTACACTGCATGAGGGGCACTTTATGGTTGTTAGGGGCGCGGTGTGATCACCCAGCAAAGTACCGGTGCCTTCCACATGCCCTGCTCTGTGTTAGGAGCTGCGGATGACAGTGGCAAGCACAACGGACAAAAATCTTTGTCCTCTTGGAGCTTATGTTCTCGTGGAGGAGGCATACAGTGAACAAGATAAAGAAATACAGTACATTTAGTGATACATGTTTAGGAGAAAAAAATAAAGCAGGGAAGGGGGATGGGGAGTATCCAGGAGGAGGTTGAAATTTTAATGAGTCAGGAACCTGTCAGACTTCTCTGAGAGGGTGCTGTTTAAGGAAGTGAGGGAGCAAGCTATGCTGTTTCTTGGGGCAGAGGGAAGAGCATTCTAGGCAGTGCAAAAGTCCTGAGGCAGGAACTTTACTGGGCATGTTTGAGCAACAAGGAGGCCACTATGCTGGGAGTAAGGTGAATGGAGGGGAAAATAGGGCAGAGTTATTGGAGCCTAGAGAAGCAGGTGGAGGAAAGAAAAGGCGGGTGGGTGTTTTTGAGGAGGAGGCACAGAGAGGGTGAAGAGAGGCAGCGACTTTGCCCTCTGCTTAGGAGAGGGACAGATGTGAGGGGAGGCAGCGGGAGAGGACTCCACTTTCTGTAGCTAAAAACAGTCTTGCAGTCTTGACTGGGTTTTTTGGCACCTTGTAGACCCAGATGCAGCACAGAATTGGCTGTGTCTCCTCTAGACTCCTACCAGCTGTTCCTTCATCCCAACCGCAAGAAAGTCCTGCCCACTGCTGGTCTGGAATGGCACCATCCTTCTCCTTGGGTTTCTGCAGCCCGCTCTGCCTGCCCCCTCGCACCTCAGGGAAGACTTGTTCCGAGATCCGGCTCATTAGGGGCTAAGCACTGAAGCTTCTGCCTTCCAGTCCCTCCCCCTGTGCTTCTGAGGTCCAGCCTCCAGGCACAGCCTGCCCCAGAATGAAACAGCTATTTTCCCAAAGATGGTGAGAGGTCTGGGGTCTGGAGAGGCTGGCGGGACGGAGACGAGGCGGTAAAGCAGGAAAGAGCCTGGCAGGCGAGGGGAGGTTGTGAATTCAGTGGGTGCCGGGGATGCTACAAGGCTTTCCTACCTATCAGGTGTCTAGGATGGCTGAGTGAGGAGGTGATACCGGCTGGGGGTATTCGGACTGGATTTATTCTTCTGATGCCACACCCCACCCCGAGCCCTAAGTGCTCAGCATCGTAAATAAAACCTACCTAATAAATCTCCCCCGTAAATTTTCTGCGTAGAATTTCATTACTCGTCTCGTTTCCAGTCATTAGGTTTTAGTCCAATTTGGAGTTGTCCCGATGGCTGTGTAAATCACGCCTGCACTCTGGGGAGCAGGAACTCCAGGGAGAAATCATGCCTGGGCCTGTCGGGGTGAAAGCTGGAGCCTGAAGATCTGGACCCTGCGTGGTCGCCCGTGGGGTGTCGGCTGCTCGCACTGAGCTCCTGCTATCCTCCTTGTCTTGGAAAGGGGGAGGGAGATGACATTAACTGAGCACCTCACGTGTGCTGGGAACTTGACACATATCATCTTGATTCCTCACACAAGCCCACAAAGTAGGAAATACTGTCTCCATCGTACAGAATAGGATGGAGGCTCAGAGAGGGGAAATTACTTCTCCA